CTTTGACTCGCTACGTTGTGGACATTGCAGCGCTTTTAGGAATCGAACCAAATTTCCTCACAACCCCAATATCGACAGGCCAAACATACTTTGGCATCCCTATCGATTTAACCCTTCAAACGGCCTTTACCCAGTCAGATGGGATAATGTCTCTCGCATAGACAAGGTCCTCATAGTGATGATCGTCGCCAAGCCACTCATCCTCATTACCAAACTTGCTCAATTTCACCTTTTGCCCCCCGTCTACACAAGTTGCCCCGAAACCAATGCCTAGAAGAAAGTTAATAAGAATGCAACATTGACTTGATTCCACAGTGTAGTAAAAGCTTCATACCTTGGAGGAACCACTCATCTGTTTTCCCTTTGTACCCTACATTGTCAAATATTTGCAGCTTCTTAATGTCTCGGAGATCCATCGTGTCACGGCCATAAATATCCTTGAGGTCCATGGTACCCGATTTGAAGAAACCAGCGTCCAGGTTCTCCCCAATCGTAATCCTCTTACCGTCTCCGAGCTTAAAGGACAAAATGCCGTCGGCTCCCCCGAGCCACTTGTCACCCAATTGGAACCAGTACGTAATGTCCTTGACCTCGACGCAGGGCGGCTTCATGGTCCAGTCGGCGCGAGAAACACCCAACTTGGCAACAATTTGTTTACTATGGCCCGTGAATGGAAGCCACGAGGCATCCGGATGTTGGTACCAGGCGTTTAGCGAAATGTACTTTTCATCTGCAACCTCGAGACCTGGCTCAGCGCATTTGGCATGCAGTGTAACATCTGAGTTCACATGACAAGATTAGCTAATGTTCAAAAAGCAGTGAAATCTTAACTTTGACGCACCTTTGACCTTCCATTTGTCGTTGGTCAGCAGAGAAATCCACGGGCCCTTGGCGGTAAGACTGATGGAATTAATGCCGTCAATCTTGATTGTATCCGAGCCAAAGCTCGCCTTCATATCAACAGGGACCCGCGTGTTGAACCCACGCGAGGCATCCGTCACAATGCTGAACTCGGCTTTGCCTGCGGGACCTTCCAAGATGGCGCCAATCTCGTCATTTGTTCCGGCAAACATGTCGTCGGACAAGGCAATCCCGAATTCGAGCTGCTTGATCTCGGTGCAGAGCGGCTTTCGATTCGACGACAGCGTCGCACCATTAAAGGCCAGGCGGTTCGGCGTATTGGGGTGCTGGTTGATGATGGCGTTCTTGGTGGAAAGCTTGCGGATTCGATCACACAGCGGCTTGGTGCCGGTGATGCCCTCGAGCGAGGCGAGATATGCGGCGATGCCGACCACGTGTGGGCAGGCTTGTGAAGTGCCGCTCATTGTGAGCTCGCCGCCGCCGGTGCGCGTCGACACGATATCTTGGCCGGGGGCGAAGATGTCAACTCGCGCGCCGAAGTTGGTAGCAAAGTCTGGCTGGCCGCCTCGTCCTTTGATGAAGAAGGGCTTGTCGTCCTTGTCCGTGCCGCCTACGACGCAGACGCTTGGGTCTGAGCCAGGGGAGTAGTTGCTAGCATCGTCGTTGAAGTTGCCGGCCGCGGCGCCAAAGAAGACGCCCGTCTTGACGAGAGCTGCGGCTGCGGCATTGAAGATTTTTGATTTCGCAGCTCCGGTGGACAGGTTGACCACGATGCCTTTGGGGCAGCGGCGCTTCTTCTGGTCATTGACTACAAAATCAATGCCCTGGATGATTCGTGACTCATAGCCCTGGTTGTTATTGTCGAGGACCTTGACTCCGAAGATCCTGGTCTGCTTGGCTACGCCGTATGTCGTACTGCCGAGAATTCCTGCAACGTGCGTTCCGTGGCCATGGCCGTCGGTAGTTTCCCCTGGGACAAAGGACTTGATTTGTTTTGCTCGGCCCCCGAAATCCTGCACATCAGGTATATTAGCCTATGCTCGATACATCTTCAGCTTTATTCAACCCACAGGATGAGTGTCGTCAACACCAGTATCAATAACATATGCACATGTGCCCTCGCCAGCCGTTTCGTCATACACGTATTTATCGATGCCACGCTTCCTATTGGCAATGCGGCCCAAGTTCCAAGACGCCTTGGGTTGCTCAATGATGCCGAATCCGTATACGTCACGATCTTGTTCGACATATTCAACCTAGGCAAATCTTAGCATCTGGCACATTAGTCCCTACTGTCTTTCCTTACGTTTGGATCGTTGCGGACTAAATCGACCTCGGTCTCGCTCATAGACTTGGTGAATCCCACGAAGATATCATTGTAGTCGACATGCTCATTTGCATTGTCCAGTTGGCTTAGAATATTGTCACGGACAGACACAGGGGTGCCATCCTTGAATTTCACGGTGTATCGACCGGGAACAAGTTTTCCTGGTCGTGGGGTTGTGGTGTAGCTGTCTGCTGGCAGCACAGCGCCTAGAGCAAGAGGCAGAATGGCGAAGTAGGCGAGAGCATGCATCTTGGAACTGGATGTAAACCATTTACCAATGAGGTCAGTAAACCAAGATGGACAAATAAAGATGCTAAGATATTGGAGAGAATTGGCAAGCTGTATTTATATTAGATGAATGTACGAGTTGCAAGCATCATTGACTATGAACTGACTCTACCACGGAGTTTTCCAGAAACCTACACTCTCATCCCTTGCATGGCCAAGCTTTTTCAATCCATGTCTAAACATCCGCGGACATGCTCTTGCAGCCAGCCGCGTGGGGGGCTATAAGTTCCCTCACTATGTTCCCAGGATGTGGGTCAATAAGCAGTTCAAAATGAGTTGTTCAATATTTATTGCTAGCCAATACTTGATAGAAACTTGGTACTAATATTATAATTATAGCGTTATTCTAGGGTGCTTGTTGGGCCTTGTGGGACAATGTGCATGTTTGGAGCCCCTGCAGCACTGACGTGATGATGTCAGTCAATCTAATAGTAGCTCCGCCTTGTACAGGGGTTTGAAGCTTATCTTATGGAAGGATGCCAACTATTAATACTCGGAAATTAAGATATATTAAGATTGATCTTATGTTAATGAGGTGCGTGAAAACGGCCTGGCCATTTGTCGACTGCCGAGTACAAGGCAATAACAAATGCCGACGGAGTCTAGTGCATTGACTGTTGGAAACTTCTAATGTCAGGGTTGTTTGGTAAGTAGCTGGCCAGGTTTCTAGGGCAGAATACAGACTGCAACTGCGGGAGGGTTGCTATCCATGTCCCATTGTTCCCGCGGCATTTTCAACGTACTTTTGCCCACGAGGTCCCAAGGGCATCTCCTCACGCAATGGTTTGGAGCAGTAGTAAATTTTGTGGCTGAGTTCTTACCAACATGGCCTTTTCCAACCAGTATGTGAGACGTCGAGCAATATTAAGCAGTATTTGCTAACTTGTGTACACTCAGTTCACCACAGGGTTGCAAATATGGTTAATGTGCATTCAAATGACATGTGAAGGTAACATGGCTCTGTGGAAACAACATTTGAAGCCGCGATTGCCGTGCGGGATGGAACGACATGGATGGGTTGAGTCCCGCGGGGCGAATCCGCACAACATATTACCAGTATGCCATAGTGATTGTCGGCATATACGGGATGGATACCCTGGCCTCTTTTATATATCCACACGTCTCGAATCCACCATGTCATGAAATCAGCTAACTATGTGTTCATGAATCTAGGGCTTGAGTGCGCAAAGACTTCTCAAATGCCTAGGTACCGTGAGAGATGTCCTTGTCAGCGATGGTTTTCACTGTCTCAGGCAACACGTCCACCTCAGGCACAAGATAACGCCGAGACACTTATAGGTGCAAGCATTATACTTATTGAAGAACTTTGTAGCGGCATTGACACCATGCTCTCCGGTAGGATACACTGAGTCAGGCATGTCCATTTCACGCATAAATTATAGACACATCAATCAATACTAATATCGTCAAACTCATTATTTCCCCAATAGCCTGCATATTTTCTGGCCCAACACTGCTTACCAATTGGCCTTCATAAACTAAAATAGGTGACGCTCCCTCAACATCCATCTCCGAAGGGCCGACTATAGTCCAGCAACAACCGCACTCCTTTCGCGTTCCACATACTAACCAATGTTTCAGTGGCCCAATTTTGTCTTTCAGAAAGGCGGTATGCCAGGGTGTCAGCTAGAATATGAGGTACATATGTAGGCAACCTAGATCGTGAGCTGGCTAGTAACGCGTAGCGTAGTCTGCTGGCTCATTTTGAGCATAGCCTTTAGAAGATCGACCGATAGTTTTCAGTTCGCTCTGGAATTTACTAGGTCAGGCTTAATAAAATTATAGTATAAGCTATAGGTACACTAGCACGCGCTTTCATCACGCTATATATGGTCGCATCTTTAGCTCACGTATACGCAGCGATTCCAAGTATTCCTAAACCGAGAAGTGGGCAATACACACGGTTGTTTCTCCGGCGTCGAGATGCACATCCAATCCAGTAAAGTATGGACAAATGTCCCTGATGGCGTGAACAACCTTGAGTCAATATGCTTCGGGTCAAACATCAGAGCTACCCAACAACTGTCACAGGAATTTTTCCTTTTTGATTCATGTATTGTTTCCTACGACCAATGCAGCCTTTTAGTGTCAAGCCCTTCATCAACATGCCGCGAGTTCCAAATCACACCCCCTCCCTTTCTAACGCGTAACCGACGACAGTGACCGTGCAGTTACAACATCTTTCGCTGGCTGAGAAGTCTGCGAGCCCTGTGCCTGTGATTCTTTCCATTAAGAAAGTCTGGCACGGACATTCCAACAACTCTAGATCTTGGTCTCAGTAATTCCCTCCAGGTACAATTCTCTAATGTAATCCTGCGCCGAGTCTACCTGCTTAATCTTGAACGTGCATTCATCCAGGGAGAGCCAGTCTGTACCATTGAAGGTAATGTGCGTTCCCTCTGGTTTGTTGCTGGATTGCAACATCACAACCGTCATTAGCCAATGCTCGTTGCTTTATTCCATTCACTATACTTTGCGCAGCGAGTGAGAGCCCGGAAAGTACTCACATAGGAATAAGCATCTTGTCGCGTGGTCCAACTGTTGCATTGAGGGCCCATCGGATAACAACATTGTACCCGTCAAAAGCCAGATTACGAATGTCAAATTTATAATGATTCCAGCCAAAGCGGGCCAGCTTCATAAACTCGATGAACTCGGCAGAGGAACCCACCGGCAACTCTTCGGAGCCACCGGGACCAGGCCGTCGGTCTTGGTATAAGACCACGTCAGGGGCGAATGTCCTGTTTTCGAGACTGAAGTCTCCGTTCCAAATATCGATGTAACTGGCAGCTACTATTGTCTGGGACGGAGCGTTGGGTTTAAAGTCGCCTCCAGGGCAAGAAGATGCGGAAGCAAGGGATGCGATTGCACCCGCTGCCCAGAAAATAGTTGAGGCGATCATGTTGTGCGGGCTTCAGGTTTTGGAGAAGGGGGGAATCGACGACGCTTTTCTGCGAAGGAGTATGCAGTGCGAATTATGTCTTGGGACGAAGAAAGTATCCCCATTCTAGTTGGGATCGTGTAGATTTATACACTTGCATCCATATTGGGCCTCGAGGTCAGTTCCCGCTACTAAGCTCACCGCCGCTCGTCTCTTCGGCACGAAGAAACTGCGCCGTGTGCTGCGCCATAGCAACTTCACGACGTGTCATGTCGAGAAACGTTTGTTTGTTCTAATTTAAGCCGTTACTCAGCAACTCGCGTTGGCTCTCAGCAGAGCGAAATGAAGCGAGCCGCGCATTTAGAACAGCAAAGACAATCTTACGTGCCGTTCGGGCCACTTTGTGAACTGACCATATGCCACTCAGCACTTGGAAACAACGCATTAATTGATCGGTGTTGAGTACTCGCAAGTCCGAACAAATCCGTGATTGTGACCGCTCTTTGCGAGGCATAATTCGATTGGAAAAGGTAGAGCTCGTGTCAAGTTGAGATTATGTGCCCCCTTACCAAACAGCTTGCGGCATAATTCTTGCCGGCAGGCCTGCATCGGTATGTGCTCCTCTACGACCTACGTCGGGAGGTAGTTTTACCGTGTCACTAGTCTGTAATCGCCGATGAGCAATTTTCATCGTTTGACAATGGAATACCAAGTCGTGCTTCGTAGACCCGGCCGATCCTGAAGCTTGCAGCCAGCGTCGGACACAACACCAGCGACTGGTGATGTAACCAACCAGACTTGACGCAGAAGTTGGATGGACTGTTCCAATCACCGTTGTCAAAGATTGCCGTCGCTCTCTTTATGCGCTCTGACCGAATCGCGCCGAGTATGGTTTCCTCCTGGCGCTGAGACCCCATGCCTCTTGTTGGTTGCTCTTTTGCGCATGGTTGATTGGGAACTGACAGACTACAAACGCCCCGAGCAAAAGCGATGCTGCCTTCTTACCAGGATGGCGACAGATGCTGCATAACCTGGTCTTGGAATGAAGCCAATAAAGAGCGCCGGATCTCAAATATAGGCCCTTTGTAACACCACCAAATGCTCAAATTGTTGCAACCGCAGGCAGGAACAAAGAAACATGCACATCTCCCCGCCGATTGGTACTTCAGCGTTTCGTGTACATCATGAGAACCCCAATTCGGTTTATGATTCCTAGCACGTAAGCCAACGATTTGGAGATCGTGTTTGAACTTGGGAGCTTGTATCGTGGCAAGTTTGCAAAAGAGCGCCTGTTGCACTATATATCCGTCAATATACTGGTCACTAGCACTCGTGAACCGCTCTACATGAGGCAATCGCCTCTCCGTGGTACATGGAGGCCACGCAATATTGCGGCACGGGCCGACCCTCGAACCTGACGATAGTTACACAAGCGCTCGAGACCTAGTTGGGCCTTGGGTTTCCAGGTTCGAAAGCTCACTGTCGTTTTGTATAAATGAAGGGTCTTCTGCCTCAAGGGCCATAATACTTACAGGAAGTAAGTAACTATTTTTTTACAGCTTTCAATATTAGTAAAAACGGAATTATGTTAGCTAATAAGATCCTTTATAATATATAGATAACGTATGCAGGAAGCAAGTAACTATTTAACTACGTGCTGGGCACTGGGTAGTGGGTAGATTAGACAGCTACTAAATAAGGCTATTACTTTATACCATAATACACTTATTATAGTTTATTATAGAAGTAAGTAAAAGTATCTGCTTAAATAAAATACTTCTTTATAGCGCTTTATATTATAATATAATTTAATATCTTCGTGTGTAGTATAATATATTACAGTACCTTAGTATTTACATGATAGAAAGCCAGGACCTTGGGTATTACAGCAAGTTGTTGGATCGCATATCCGATATAGTACAGTCTAGCGCGGTAAGCTGTGTCGTCCTCAAGGTGATTATCTTCAAAGACTCAATCTAACTTTCGCAGTTCTACCAAGATCAATCAGCAACAATGCCCTCACGCAGACGTCAATCGCGCGATAGCAGCAGTAGCAGCAGCAGCACCCAAGGAGGGTCTAGCAATAGCGATTCTGTGCGTGATAACAGGCCAGATCCCACTTGTGAAATTTGTCGCGGATCTGGCTGGACTTCGGTTCAACGCGAACGCTCTGTGTACATAGATTGCGCACCTTGCGTCGGCTCAGGAGTTCTTCGTTGCGACCCACGAGCTGAGGGAGCGGAATTGAGGTATTGTTGTAACGACAAGAACTCGTATTGTCCATGGTGTGAGAATCACTTAGGGTATTGCTACGTACGCAGATGCGGCAATTATTATTAATCAGGTCAACCCGGCAAGGTATGCGTTGCGGAGAGATATACGGAGATGGAATAATGCGACCAGTTGACTGTTGTTTTTAAATATTGATTGCTTCTGCTCTTGGTATTTATAGTCTAGGAGGCGCTATTTCCCCTACTAGGGTGATCAGGCGCTTCAATGTTCTCTAAAATAAGATTCGACCCACATTAACCCCCCCCCCCCCCCCCCCCGGGATCAAATCTACAGTGCCACACTTCGCCGGTTAGATTCTTAAACTTTAAACTTGTGAAGAGCTTTATGAACGACACTTTGGAACCAGAACTAGGTGTCCAAGATTTTGCACTCATGATAACTAACCACGCATGTGACCGTGCCTGGCATAGTGGGGCCGTGGATGCCAGAGAGAAGGCGACCAGGCAGACTTCCTCTGGTTTTGTACCATGCATGGGCTTGCGGCTGAGCTCGTCATACCCCTCACTGCCAGCCTGGTACCAGCCTGGCTGATTAGTGTTTGCGATGATGGTGATGATGCCTGCCCTATCCCTTGAAGCATTGCATTGCGCCCAAATCCTTTCCTTAGGGCCTTGCAATGCGACTACTAAAACGCGACGATATAGGCAACTATAGCCTGACACCAGACCTGTCCTCCGACGATGTTCCGCCTTACGCGATTCTTTCTCACACCTGGGGACCAGACGAGGTAGTCTTCCAGGACCTGACAACGACGCCAGGTGATTGGCAGCGCAAAGCTGGTTACCACAAGATTGAGTTTTGCGCCGACCAAGCGAGACGGCATGGGTTGGAATTCTTCTGGGTCGACACTTGCTGTATCGACAAATCTGATAGCATCGAGCTCCAGACTGCGATCAATAGCATGTTTCGGTGGTATGGCGATGCAAAACGATGCTATGTCTACCTGTCCGATGTCTCTGGCCCTGCAGCCTCCGGTCGACGGAATAGCATGACGTCGTGGGATGATGCATTTCGACAGAGCAGATGGTTCACTCGTGGGTGGACGTTGCAGGAGCTCATCGCCCCGAAAACAGTCGATTTCTACTCGGAGGAAGGGGCTTGGCTAGGTGACAAGCAGTCATTAGAGCCTATGATACGCGATATTACAGGCATTCCTGCGAGTGCTCTGCGTGGTACACCTTTGTCCGACTTCACTGGCTCGGAACGCGAGGCGTGGGCACGCGGCCGTCAAACCAAATATGAGGAGGACATGGCGTACTCGCTCCTTGGTATATTTGAAGTTCATATGCCGCTAATCTATGGCGAAGGGCGAAAAAATGCACAGAGACGGCTGCGGGAAAAGGTTCAGAAAGCCATAAAGGGTAAGACAGCTCAAGGACTAATGGAGGGTGGGCTTAGAAACTAATAGTGCTAGGGTCACGAACGAACGATTTCTCAGTTACCTTCAGCCTATCCGAAGTTCCCGAGATCCAATACTTTGTCGCACGAGAGAGGGAAATCACAGAGGTGCGCAGAATTCTAAGTTCAGATGGAAGCCGTCGCGCCGTTACCCTCCACGGCCTTGGGGGCATTGGCAAAACACAGCTTGCCATAGCATACACAAAGCGATATCGAGACGAATATTCCGCCATATTTTGGTTTAATATCAAAGACGAAGCGGCCATTCAACAGAGCTTCACTAAAGTTGCGAAGCAGATCTTGCAACAGCACCCTGATGCTAGCCTCCTTAGCGCACTAGATCTTCAGAAAGATCACGACGAGGTGGTAGAAGCTGTCAAGGCATGGTTCAACTTATCAGGCAACACTAGGTAGCTTATTATATACAACAACTACAATAACCCGAGATTTACTAACCGCACAAGTAACACGGGAATCAACATTAATCGCTTTCTTCCTACAGCACACCAAGGCTCAGTTATTATCACGACACGGTTGCCCCAAGTCAACATAGGGCATCTACTTCAAATAAGGAAGTTAGAATCAACCAACGACAGTCTCAAGATCCTATCATCAACCTCAGGCCAAGATGGCTTGCACGATGGTAAGAGTTTCGCAAATACTTAGCAGGCTCTACTAACAATAGCCACAGACATAGACGCTAAGAAGCTTATAAAAAAGCTAGACGGGCTTCCACTCGCCCTTACCACGGCTAGGGCGTACCTAAGGCGTGTTTCAACAAGCTTGGCTGACTACCTTCGCATTTACGAGAAATCGTGGGCAAGACTTCACACGAGCACTCCAAGTCTAGGTTCCTATAGAGATCGCACATTATGCTCTACGTGGCAAGTCTCATACCAACAAGTCCAGAAACAGAACCCTCTGGCAGCTCATTTACTCCGATAGTAGGCCTACTTTAACAACGAAGACATATGGCTTAAACTTTTTCAACCCAAAGATAAAGATAGTCCAACGTGGATATATGACCTAGCTGATAAGTTGAACTTTAATGGCGCAATAGGCACACTGCATGATTACGGATTTGTCGAGCCACACACGTTCAGTCTAGACCTAATCAAATCAAGGGGATATAGCATTCACGGCTGCTTACACTCTTAGGCCATTCATGTATTAAACCAAGAGTGGGATAGCTATCTTAGCAAGCTTGCAGTAGAATGCATCGCCTCACGCGTTCCATCACAGAATAACGCCCAGTTCTGGCTGCTTCAAAGACGACTTCTGTCACATACAATAACGTCTTGCGCCACAGTTCAAGCTAGCAATAAAGACTTGAACTAGGCTTTCCACAACCTAGGGAACCTTTACTCAGACCAAGGCAAGCTGCAGGATACCGAGGAGATGTACTTACAAGCGCTTCAAGGATACGAGAAGGCGTGGGGACCAGATTACACAGAAATACTAGATACAGTCAACAACCTAGGTATTATTTATAAGGCCCAAGGCAAGCTGCAAGAGGCCGAGAAGATGTACTTACGAGCGCTTCGAGGAAAGGAGAAGGCATGGGGACCAGATTACACAGAAACACTAGACACGGTCAACAACCTAGGCGTCCTTTACTCAGACCAAGGCAAGCTGCAAGAGGCCGAGAAGAAGTACTTACAAGCGCTTCGAGGGTACGAGAAGGCATGGGGACCAGATCACACGGAAACACTAGCCACGGTCAACAACCTAGGCGTCCTTTACTCAGACCAAGGCAAGCTGAAAGAGGCCGAGAAGATGTACTTACGAGCGCTTCGAGGGTACGAGAAGGCATGGGGACCAGATCACACGTCAATACTAGACACGGTCAATAACCTAGGTACCCTTTACTCAGACCAAGGTAAGCTACAGGAGGCCAAGGAGATATTTTTTACGAGCGCTTCGAGGAAAGGAGAAGGCGTGGGGACCAGATCACACGTTAACACTAAACACGGTTAATAACCTAGGTACCTTTTACTTAGACCAAGGTAAGCTGCAGGAGGCCGAGGAGATGTTCTTACGAGCGCTTCGAGGGTACGAGAAGGTCATAGAACCCCAGAACATCACGAGATACCGGCCAGCGATCAACACTATATGGGGTCTAGGGTCCTTGTTATGGAGTCAGGGCCAGCTAGTCGAGGCCAGGACATCCTATCAGCGCGCTTACAGTGACCTTAAAGGACTGTTGGGATCGTCTCATGAAGATGTCCAGTCGCTACAGAATACTCTGCTAGACCTGAATCGTACAATCGAGGCTGGGTCCGTTGATAGAGATTAGCCAACGCCAACGCCAACACAATCCAGGAAGAATAGCCGCCGGGAGGTCCTTAAAAAAGTCTTGGGTATTCGCTCGAAGTTGTAACGGGCTGAGCCGTTGATGTGCACTCGGCTGATGCCGATGCTAATAACGCCACCAAATAAAGGTCTCACGTTCAACCCCTAAGCGTAGAGGTATATAAATAGCTAGCCAGCTCTTTCCGAGAGTTTTCAGTTCTTCTTCTCTTCAATGCAATCAATTTGTTGGTTTCCAAGCACGCTTCTGGCTGAGTAAGCCCCGTGCCCCTTACAGAAGTGGAGAGGTCACAGTTAATAATTCCTTCTGTCTTAGAGGATGCATGGTCAAGCTTATTCTAAGTTTCCATGAACAAAGGTTAGAATAAGACCATGTGCACTATGGTCTATAGAAATCATGTTCTATTAAGCGGAGACGCACGTGCTTCATGTCTAAAAACGCAAACTATTAGCTATCTAAGCTTCATGAGGAGCTCTGCAACGTACAGCACCCTCGTATTGATTTACGTAGTTTGAAAGCAGGGTCTTTGTATAGTGTCGGTACTGGCAGCTACATGCCACCTGGATGAGGAAAATCTTTGCCAATGGTGTAACCCCAGCGGTAGGCAGACATAGACGGAAACGGTATCTTGTAGAAGAAAGTGCAACTAGTGACTTGGCAAGCATGGTAAATACCACGTGAGACCTTTGTTGTAGCTGGTTTTGAGGCGTCTTGATACCACACGCAGCACATTTGGCTCCTTTTTGTTTTGTTTTGTTTTGTTTTGGTTTGTTGTTGTTTGGGGTGGTCCCCCAAACCTGGTTGTGTCTGTCAAAGTCAATAGTCAAATTGCACCAGCCACTCCGACCCCAGAAATTCATAGATTTTGGTATGCCAATGAAGATGTCCAATGCGACGCAAGGGGGAATATTCCAGGGGTAGCCGTCGCCGGGCACTAAATGCGTCTTTGTCTGGACTAGTACTCTTGTAGGAGCTTCTCCCACATCAGGTGCTCTGCTCTCAGGGTTGCTGGCATTTGTCTCCATCACAAAGGTCAGCTGGTGGAGCAGCAGCAACATGGAACGACGGTACGGAGTAGGCTGGATTCGGGCGCGGGGTCTCATTAGGACTAGGCCGACCGCTTACATCATCGGCCTGACAGCGGGGTCTCCACTACTCCTTGGCAACGCCGTGGGTTAGGGTTACGGCTCACTTCCTGACTCTCCATCGTCAGAATTTCAGAAACCACCAAGCCAGCTCCCCAAGATGCCAGACCTGCCCGCCTTTTACGATCCAGCCTCCCCCAACGAACAGGCCCCACCGCTCCCCTCTGCTCCCCTCCAAGAGCTCTCTCCCGAGGCCGTCTTGCAACCGCCACTATCCCGTCGCGGCACTGGACCCGGTCTCATCCTCCTTCTCCCCGAAAACATAGAAAGGACCAAGCGTAAAGACAAGCCACTGGACCCCGAACCCATCCAAAAATGGGCCGAAGAAGGCTTTGCGGTTGTTGGAATCACGGCCCCAGCCACTGCTATCCAGGCCATCACAGACGCAGTCGAAGCTTTGAAGAAGCATGACAAGGTCGATACCAAGGATAAAATCGGCATCATAATATATGATTCTCCCCAACACGCACTCACATCTCGGCTGCCCCCGGAAATTGCGTGTATAGCCACATTCACCGAGCCCTTCCCATCGCAATCCCATATCCCTACGTACTTTCACACATCCAACACTCCAGAGGACTATGCAAAGGCCAATAATGTGACAGTATCAACGTATCCCAACACCCAAAAGCACTTCATCCTACCCGGCTCAGCAACCTATAACCCCCCCGCTGCAAGCATTGCGCACTCTCGAAATTTGGTGTTTTTAAAGAAACATATAGGAGGCCCAGTGTTTGACATTGAGGCCATTTGGGAGGAGCATACCTACTGGGAGTTTGAGAGGAGGAGCGTGGCACAGACAATGGCTACCATGGTCGTACGTGCCCTTGTCTGCCGTTTTATTTCTGTATCAAGATCAGCAAGGTCACTAATCAGTGTAGGCCGAGCCATATGTGAACAATGTCCCGACGGTAAGGCAACGATCAGATGAACCGTTCCAAGACGCTCACGCATATAGATGACGGGCGGAATGGGGCGAGCGGCCCTGACAAACTTTTACAGAGACCATTTTATCTTCTGGTAATTCACCCTCAGGCCTCCTCTACCCCGTAGTTTGCAGGTCTGCTCACGGCAGCGCAGTAACCCGCCAGATACCGCCCTTCAACCGGTTTCCCGAACCATCGGCCCTGACAGAGTAGTCGGTTCGTCTGCCGGGCAAGACCAGTGGAGCTGAGTATTCCTGCATCATGCTAATCAACACAGACGAGTTCATCTTTTCGTGCACGCACACGTTGCACATCCCGTGGTTGGTCCCCAATATCCCCCCTACCAACGTCAAGCTAGCTATCCCCATGCTCGGGGTGATCAACTTCCGCGGCGACAGGCTATACCATGAACACATATGGTGGGATCAGGGGACGGTGCTTCGGCAGCTGGGGCTGCTGCCGACTCATGTACCCGGGCCCGAGGGGAAAATGCTGAGACTCCCCGTGGCTGGCGCCGAGTGCGCGAGGTTGCTGGCTGATGAGACAGATGGCAAGAGCAACGAGATGATTGAGAGGGTGGACTAGCAGTCATGCATACTTTCCAGGCAAGTAGGTATTCATCAATCACTGTTTCACGCTGTACTTGAAGCCTCTTCCGGCACAGACTGGCAAATAACAGAATGTAGTTAGTTGAGATAGGAAATATAGCATCGTGTCTTGAAAGAGATGCACTCAAAATGTCATGCGTATGCTCCGAAACAACCCTTCAAGCCCAGGCCCCATAGCCATGGAACAACACCATACGACCGCAAATTAAACATCCAGCTCCAACCTCCAAGCTACGTCCTCACCTCGCCGTCCCCGTCGCATCGCCAACCCTCACCCTCCGCCTATTCACCTCTGGGATCCTGTACCCCCCCTCTCTCTCCGGCCGGTTCCTCTCCCAGAAATCACTCACCTCCGTCTCCAGCTTCCTCCTCCTCCTCGGCCCCTCCTCCTCGCCCCCCTTCCTTCTGCGCCTCACCCTCCCCCCCAAATCAACCAGCCTGACCACCACCGGGCCCCAAATCTCAAAATACACCCGCCGCGCCGCGTGCCGATACCGCCCGTCCACCCACCGAAAAAACCGGCGGGCGCTCGAGCTAAACGCAATCACCAGACTAGCCAGCACCAGCACCGCGCTCGACGGAACGGCAATCAAGCCAATCGTCTCGAGGGACAGGTTATTCTCGCCCCCCCACTCGCGGGTGTTCATGCCAAACAGGCCCGTGAAGAAGGTAAGCGGGAGGAAGATGACGGTGAAAGTGGTGAAGATCATGACGCTCCGCGACTGCGCGCTCGCCAGGTCGGCGTGCAGCCGGCTCAGGCGCACCTCGTCGACCTGCGCCTGGCGACAGCAGCTTGTCGTAGTCGTCGCGGGTCGAGCGCGCGCGCCGCGCCATGTCGCCGGCCTGCCGGGCGTACTCGCGCAGCCGGGCGAGCGCCTCGGCGAGAAAGGCGCGCCCGTTGGCCGCCCGCTCGCGCAGCTCGGGCCGGCTGTAGGCGGCGTGCATGGACGCGACGACGCGGGACTGCCGCTCAAACAGGTGCAGGAGCGTCTGGAGCTCGTCCTCCATGTCGCGCAGCTCCAGGAGCGCAGAGGTGTTGTCGCGGTTGTCGCGCTCGGCGCGGCGGCCCTCCTCCTTGTGGCGCTTGCGGATGGTGCGCGCGCCGTCTTGCACGGGCGAGTGGTCGAGGGCCTTGTCGCGGAAGCCTTGGGACCGGAATTCCTTGAGGGACGAGGTGAGGCGCTCGGTCTGGCGGGTTAGGCTGGGCGCTTGGTTGGGGGGCAGGGGGGGAGGTGGACTTACGAGCACGCTGATGGCTTCTTCGAAGATGCGGAATACTTCGAGGTCCGGGTGGGACGGCCGGTCGAGCAGGACGCTGACGGCGTGGAGGGCGGCCAGGGCGGCTAGGTCGAGGGCGTTTTCGCACTGCCGCGTCAGGTCGACGTTGACTTCGTTGAAGATGCTGTCTCGCAGGTCGGCCTGTTGGTATAACGGGCCTTCTATGGGGTCGCTTTCTCTCCTGGGGAAGAAGGATACAACCGTGTCTGCGAGCATTAGCATTGCTCTCCAGGACCTCGGTGATGGCCAACCTACGCGATTGAATGACCCAGAGCCACAGCTGGTCTACCATGAGCACGTTTCCATTCAACACCCTGTCCTCGTCGTCGTTGACGTCGCGCCGCAAAAGCCGCTCCCGCCAACTACTGCCCGAGCTGCGCTCACTTCGGCCGCTCTCTGAAATGGCGGCGTTGCTCGAGCCCTGTTTGTTCAGCGCGAAACCTTTGGCGTCGGGTGCAGGCGTCCGTTCCTTGGTGAGCTTGTACAGCATCTGATCGTCATCGCGCGATCTGGTGTCGCGCAGGGACGGATACCCATACTGGTCCAGCGTACGTCGACAGTTGATGGGCGGATCGTGGCCCAGATACTCCCAAATAACTTGGACTTCGAGCGAGTCAGACTTGGCAACCGTTTCCGGGACCGGGTGCGCGCGGCCCTGGGAGAGACGCCGGGTGATGGTATCCCGGCGGCGCAGGAGCTTCGTGTACGAGTCAAAGTGGAGGTACGGAAGAAACAAGCAAGTGTAAGCAGAGTCGCCGCTTCCAAGGGGTGGTGAGAGCGACTGGTTCCCGAGGGATCGATGTCGAGGGGACACTACATATACCAGGTCAGCGGGCTGTCGCCTTTCAAGTTCAGGGCGTCAAGGACTTGCAGGCTCTCGGCGCAGAAAAGTAGCATCCCGGCTTCGCGTAGTGTGCATAATGCTGCGCGTGCCTTCCCCTGGTATGTCTCGTCATCCAAAAGTCTTGTCCGTACAATGTGGAATAGTCCTCGCTGTACGACGCTTCCAGAGACTGCAGGACACTCTGCAAGGAAAGGGTCAGCACTACGGCGTGAACGCTCCTCTGAATGCAGCAACATTGGACTCACCTTGACCCAAGTCGGGTTATTAAACGGAACATGCACCCACACAAACTTGCGGCTCCTGACATCCGGCTTCATAAACGCCCCGGGCGCCTCGTCGACAACCTCGCGGGCAGCCACGGCTCCCGGCAGCCTCGGCGACTCCATGTCCTCGTCGTCGCTGGCGAGCACGTCACCGATACTACTCCGGCTTCGCGGAGAAAACGGCGCCAAGTCCCTGTCCTCGAAGCGGGATCCGTCGCTGCCCAAGCTGAAGGAGCGGCTCATCGCGCGGCCGCCCATCCGGCCCCGGAGCGGCGCCGAGAGTCGATCCACCGCCAGCTCCTGCTCCATGTCTGCTCGTATCAGCGGCGACGGCCTGCGAATGGGGCTCGATTTGGGAGAAATCGCCCGTGAAGGGGGCGTCTTCGGACCACGGGGTGTGGCCGCCGGCGCCGAATGGGCAGCGTGTCCGGCCGAGCATGAATCCATCGGCGACGCGGGAGACGGTACAAGTCCCGCGCTCGACAGGGCATCCCGTATCCCCAGCGCATTCTGGACGGTCATGAGATTCGGGGCGGCGGGCGGTACGCGTGCCGTCTCGCTTGCCTTGTCGGCGAGTGGCGTCCGTCCACGATGTCGCGATGCCCTCTCCTCCTCCGGACTGCCTTCCACCTCGTTTAGCCGTTCGCTCAGACACTCGTCGGGTCCCTTGGTTAGGAACTCTCTCAGCGGTACTCTTGTGCTCCACGCCCGGACAATCGGATAGTCCACGTCGTCGCCTCCATGCTGGCCTTGGCTGGGCGGCGCGTCGTCAAAGAAGCCGTGCACCTCGACATTGACCTTTTGCTCCAGCCCCAACGTCCACTGGCCGCTGGATTCTTTCGCCCGCGCATTCGTGTCCGCGTGGCAGACTTGGTGGGCCAGCTGTTTCAGGAACATCTGCAGCGTGTGCACATTGTGTCTGCCAAAGGAGGCCATGTTGGCGTGGTCGCTTTGTAGAGGGAAGATGCGCTCCTGTCGCATGCCCAAGATGGCGGATTTCATGGACGTCAGCGGCGCCGTAAAGTCGACGTCTCTCGAGTCCGGTCCGGCCGTGGCATTGCCCCCAGAGAGGCGAGAGTCGATGGTCTCGTAGAATGTCCACACTTGCAGGTCATTGGATGCGGCTTTGAAGTCTTCGTCAAGGCGTGTGAGGACGCTGTTTCCCACGCGGAGATGATGCGTCACCGAGGGAGGGAGAGGTGAGGAGAGCTGGAGCAGGGATTGGATGCTGCATGCCAGGCTGGGGAGGGAAAAGTAGCTCGAGCCCTGGTGAGGTGTTCCTGTACACGGTTGGCATCTGAGTCTTGGAAACGGCCATGGCGGCATCATGCGAGAAACGTACCAAAAAAGGCGACTCCGTAGCACTGCCTCAGAATATTCTCATATCTCGCCTCGTTACTTGCCTTGACCAGCGCCATCTTGACCGCCAGCCCGCCGAGGCTGTGTCCAATAAACAGGATTGGCCGCTCATCATCCTCCATCTCCCTTAGACGCTGTAAATTCCGCAACAGCTCATCCGCAAGGGTGTGAAGAGTCGTGCCCTCGTCCATCTCTGGATGCTCGTACAGCAAGATGCGCGCCTTGTCCGCCTCCCGCCTTATGCCTTGCCTCACCCACGAAGGCGTTGGTCGCTCAGCGTCATCTTTCACTTCGGCGTCTCTCATGGACAGAGCGCCATAGTAGCGGCTCATGAGGCCGTCGCGGTTCCAGCTGCGCAGGGGATGGCCGCCCGGGCATGGAACGGTGATGATGTCGACGGTGGTTTTGTCATGAGTGAGATGCCCCTCCGGGTCCATGGTGAAGCGTGGCCGGGGACTGTCATTGTGAAGATCGGCGCCTTGTTTGAGATTCGAGGCCAAAGAAGACGAGGAGTGGTCTGACGGATGCCATGGTGGCGATGCCGCGTCGTGACGGGCGAGGCTTGGTGGACTGGCAGGATTGACGGCGAGTGAGGAAGAGTCGCGTGCCACGGCGGGTGAAGTCGCCGAGCGGGAGAGCATGGCCAACGCGCTCGTCCTGTCAACTGCTTCAATCTTGTATGATTCCGTGCTTCACTTGATCTTGACGCACTGCCTGCACTCAGCTCGTTCCAAGTGAGTAGCCCCCGTTGCTCGAAACTATAAGCACTCTGCGTCGGATTGTTCACAGGTAAGAATACTCCAAGCTTCAAGTTGAGTAAAGACAAGGCCAAGACTCGTAGCCTTCATATCCTCTGCCTCGAGTGTGTCGAGTCCATCACCTGCTCTCCATCGTCCCATCCCATCCCGAGTCATCACGCTCCAAGTCACGACCCTCCGCTGCAACCGCGCAATCGTCCACGACTCGCCTTGTGCATCACCATGCCTTGGTTCGTGCATATTTCATCCTCAGGAGTAGCATTTCGTGCGCCCAGTGCGAAAATGGTGTTCGTGTTCCAGGGTCGGGGGCAGCTCATGTGAGACATGGGCGCCACCTCGTGATGCTCGTTGTGACCGATGAGGCCCGCGTGGCCGGGAGCCCGGTGACCTCGGCCGACCACCAGCATGGGAAAAGCCTCTGCAAGTCTGTCTGTTGGATTATGTGAGCATACTCTGTCCGCGCGCGCGAATGACATTGACACAATTCGACTTTTGCATCTCGCCTCGTGATAACCCTAACCCTAGCCCTAGCCCCTTGGAAGAGGTAGGTTGCTCAATGTGGTCCTTGCAAATTTTGGTGTGAAGAATAGCTAGCTGTTCGAGAAGGATCCAGTATTTGTTCGTTCAATGTTATGACGGCCACCCGCGTGCAAAAAAACGGCTTGATGTGATAGAGACAATGCGGATGCTCATGGTAGTGATGCATGTTGATAATACCACATGTGCAAGCTTGATCCGTTAATCCTAGGTCTGTCGCTTATTCGAGCAAGGTTTGGGCTTCTAGGCAAGAAAAAAGAAAAAACATACAGCACCGGGTATTCGCTGGTCGTCACCGATCCAGCTACTAATCCGGCACTCGCTAGGTTATCCAACGGAGTTCGAGACGGGATCCAGATTTATCTAGCGGCTGTGGTCGTATGTGTCTGTTGGAGAGATAATTTAGTCTATAATCGCATCCTGAAACCCCTTTCAACCGCAACGAATAAGTTGAGTAGGGGCGAGACTGTCCCGAGTACCACAGTTGATTTGTACATGAATAAAGACATGCAATGCACTGAGTAGTGCTGACTCTACACCAAGAGCACCAAAGACTCGTATCTCCAACAATGGCAAATGCCAAAATGGATCGAAACATGGTCTGAACACATGTGAAGAGGCGAAAACCGACCCTTCTCAACTTTCCCGGCCACAAGCTCGGGCTAGCACAGCTCGAGAAGGATGAGCACATTGCTACCCTGATATTGTCATGCAGATGTTACACGAGGCCTATGATGACGACACCATAGGGCTCGTGGGGTCATCGCTGCTTTGTATAGAAAAGGTTCTTCTGCCCCAAGCGCCTTGAATACCAGAGGCTATTACTAGATAAATGTAGGTATTACTCTGAGCCTGCACAAGGTCTAAAGGGTTAGGATGATACTAAAGAACCTCGTACCGGAAACCCTAGCTTTTCTAGAAGCTCTATTTTCGCAAGTTTGCAGTCTTGATACAACTTCTGAGTAATTATACGAAAACCATATCTGCACCATGGTCGAAATGCCTTATTCTTTCAAGTTCACCGCTAGTATTACACAGAAAAGGCCCAGCAGATTGTAAAGCCTAATAAAGGGGCTTTACTAATATAAGACTTATTAATTATATAACTTAAATATATATTTAAGTAAGAATTTTAAGCTTAGGTATTTTTTATATATATATAAAGTAATTATTCTTATTTTCTTCTCTTATAATAACTTAAGACCTTAAAGACCCTTCGAGATTATTATTAAATAGAGCCCTTTTGCTCTAAGCCTGCTGTATTGAACCCTTGTCACGTTGTTCCTGTCCACGTCATGAGCCGCGACCATCGAACGACACCCGCTCATGAAAGTCTCTGCTTTTGGACATGCTATCGAAACTTGGCGCTCCTAGGAGATACCCGTGTAGAATCTCTCTATTCATGCCAACCAGGACCGTGCCGCATGAAAGCAGCATACCACCGTGCGTCGGTACATCCAGCATCTCCCACTCGCAAACTAGGCGTCTAGTCCCCTGGATTCATCCTAGGTACGGGGTTGTGAGAAATTACGGCGTCATGCCAACGCCCTCAAGGTTCTTGGTGCTTTCCCCTCGACGCTAGTCGTGAGTTTCTTTGTGATGCAAAGCCGGCTGTGCTTCTACAGCATCCAAAATGTATAAAGTCGCCACGACGAGCCCGAGGATGCTTCAGGAAATCTTGTCATCCCAACCCATCAACCCAACAAAGCCACATCTTGACTATTCAGATACATCCCCTCGGCTCTTTTAAAACGAACAAAGATGAAGCCGTCTCTCACATTCGTCCCTGTCCGGCTTGGACTCGCCGCCGCCGCTCCGCAGAGGAACCCCGACCCTTCCAAGTATGGCCTGTCCAAGGGCTTCCCGGACAAGATCAAGAAGACACTGGAAGACCTCAAGGCCATAAATCAAAATAGGCGACGTCGCCCAACAGGTCGGGTGGCAAGTCACCGGCAGTCTGCCAGGCGCTGTCGGCAAAGGGGCCACCATCCTCTCCTTCCTCACCTCCTTGAAAGATCTCAACAAACCCCCCCGCCCCAGAACAAGCCAAGGGCCAGTCTGGAAGAAGTTTGCCTCGGCGGCAATCGCGTTTGTCCCCACGTTTGGCGCCCTCGGCGGCCTACCCGGCTTCCTCGCCATCATGAAGGCCATCACCATGGGCATCTTCAACGCCGAATCCCCCGAGCTTGCGGCCAAGGCGGAAATGAAGGGAAAGCGCTTCAGCGACGAGGCGACATACGAGGATCTCTGCAACAACTGCCAGCCGCACCTGACCATCTCGTGGCTCGGGCGGCTGAACGGCTGCACCAAGGACAAGGTGGTGAAGCGGGATGCTCGTCAGGACCACGTCAGGGCGCCGTCTTTTGCTCCGGCTACAGCGGCGGCGAGACGGACCAGATTATAGGGCAGAGCACCCGGTACGACCCTCCGCGTCCAAGGACGAGCAGATTGGCCTGCTGCTGAGCAGCTGGATTGGCGGCTCGCTCATGGAGAATATTCACTTGCTTGGCACGGACGACTTTCGAAACGCCATGAGGCCGGCTTGCTCTGGGCTGCTCGAGGACGAGAAGGACGTGTGTCTGTCAAAGGAAATTTTCCAAAAGGCTGAAGAGGACTTTCCGTCTGTAACTTTTTGCGCGCCTGGAAAGGTGCAAAAGAGCCGTCAGTAGTTGGGAAACTGTTACACGTATGACACGTTGCCATGAGGGCACAGGCCGAACCTTAAACCCGATAATAGTTATATAAGGGCTCTGATTATAAGACCTAGGGTAAGCTCCTTTACTACTTCTTAATATAAATAAAGGTCTTTTGTGATATTATGGTCAAGCATGAGAAACTAGACTAGCCGGCGAATGTATAGATGGCCTACAGAGTCTGTTGGAGATGGTAGTCTTGAATAGATTTGGTCACCCATCTTGAAGAGAAATGTGTCAGGTCCGCAAATGTAGCCAGTGAAAGCACAAGTAGATTGCTAATTGTGGCATATGATACTCGTAAATCACGACTTTGAGGAATACATTATGCATATACTATGGGATATGACTGTCAAGACATGTTGACATCTGCCAGAAGAGCGAGTCTACATGAGCAAACAGCTATACATGCCGCCATCTATTTTTGCTTTTCCCATTCAAGTCAAGGCATCCGAGAGCGGAGCCGAGTCGGAAGGTTTGACGTGTAGAAGGATCGCGAATCGTCGTGTTGAATCGAACAAAGCCCCCTGCCAGGAAGTAATACCACTCGAATCCACGGCGTCGAGTTCCGCGTCGGTTCCCCTTTATCATCCTCATTCACTCTCCTTAGAAAATGGCAAACCGCCACCCCCCGTTGAGACTTGGCCCCTGGTCCACGTTGTTCTCGCACCTTTCCACACTCCCGGATATTGAACCAACAGAGTACCCATTCCACGAGCTGCCCGTCGTCGGTGGGGAAAAGGTACACTCCGTGGGAGGGAGATCCGCACAAGTCATGGAAAAGTTGGTATTCCAGGGGAAATAGTCCATAAAGCCAACCTGTGACCCTTGAATACCCCCCGTGCCTTTAGGCAGAGTCCACGTGCCAATGTGGAACGCCGTGCCGTTCTTGTAATTCACCGCTTTTCCAGCCCAAGTCGTCCCGGCCGTATTTGTCATGATTAAATCCCAGGTATCCGCGTGCGAGCCGGAAAAGTCATGAGCACAGCTCACACCTGGCCCGTCATCGACGCCCTTGGAGCAGTTGGGATCGGTTGTCGTTGTGCCGTTGATGAAACTCGTAAATACGCCGCGAAGAACAGTCGCTCCTGATGACGTGTCTTGTCGAGGCTGAAGCGCAGCGTATGCCACCGAGGTCTGGCCGTAAAATTTGACTCGCTGGGCGAAATGGTAGCCGGCGACATGGGGCGCTCTAGAAAGGTTGATGGGAAATGAAATGTCCCTCAAGCCTTCTGGGGGCACATAGGATATGTTCCAGGACAGGACGCATAGTGCAGATCTGGAAAAGGGTAGAGAAGATAGAGCGAGAAGGAGGGGAGAAAGACTGAGCCTCATTTTGGTTTGAGCTTTACATGCATGTGAATGTTTCCTTGTGACTGGACAGAGACGCAGAATTTTGTAGCTCTGGGGGCAATATTTGTAGGTTCGAAATTAGTCTGTAGGTACTTGCCGCCATCGACGGGCTAAATGGTAGCTCCTCGACGTCAATAAATCATAGATTAGGTCATAAAAATGTTTAGTTTAAATCTAGACTAGCCAACTACTCCTAGCCTCTACTCTGTGTCTACAAGCCCGTTTCAATAATGATGCGTTTATAATGTCAAGGCTTTGGGCAAGTTCCCGCAAATGGTTTCCTATATATGCAGTTTACGGTACAGATGTAGCCTCATGGAAGCGACTCATTAGGCAAAGCGGGATGCAACAGCCGCAATGTCATAAACACAAACGTCCCCATCGAGGTAATGTGATTACTGGAGCTTTTAACGACCAAAAACATGTCTCAACAAGGCATCTTTGACCCGAAATACCCTATCCACCATGTGATCAAACTGCATTTGGATCTGTCGTGAGAAAAGAAAATGTCAGCCCCAGGGTAGCCAATGTATCGAGGATTTATAAATAAACCAACGGAGGATCTTTTGCCGGTATGCTGTTCGTTGACCTATTTCTTGATCCGTTGACTCACAGGTCAAACACAATATCTTCCTTGGCAACTAGATTCTCGAGTCCCCCGTAGTTATTTAGCACTCCCAGAGTACACATTACCCTAAGTGGTCAAGGGACCAAGGGGGGAGTTGACCCCTGACATCTTGAGCTTCATATGACCTGAAAGCATAAAAAATTGAGTCTTTTGATACAATTCTTATTCTACAAAGCCTGCAATTCTGGTGGAAAAGACAGTTCACCAAGGTCATGCGGTCTCTGCACATGGTTGTTCGCCATTTGATACAACTTCCACTATGCGACGTCCTGCCTCAGTACAGAGATGTCAGTACTCGGCTTTGGACAACGCCCCTAAACCAAGCCGTATACGCCCTTTCATACCCTCGAGGCATCACGATCTTGTCCTTTCAAAATACCAGAGTGAAGCACGTATTCGAGTGCAAAACCATCTTTGAAAGGCTCCGAGTCGGACAAATGCTGCTCCTTAAGACACGTAAGCCGGACCTCAATAAACTTTCCCTACCACGTGTCGTCTTCTAGAGCTCAACAACTCAAGCTGGGATACGGGCACGGCCATAGAGTCAATCCTTGCACCTTGCACAGCGAACAGCTGCAACGCTGACAAAACGCTCAATAGTAGCTTAAAGCAAGAAAAAGGCCTAACGTGCAGACCGCGGAGCCAGTAATATACAATCTTGAGCAACTGCCCACCATGCAAGCAAACGTAAATACAACAGCATAGGCCCACCACCCAAAACGAAACCAAGCCCAAGCCTTACGCCAACTCGTAATCCTTTACCGTCGTGCAATGAACCACGGCCTCAAAGTATATCCGATTCTCAATAATGCATTTTTCGCCTGGCCGCACGGGGAACGCCCCGTTGGGACCCAACTGTACCACTTTGCCGCCCGTTGTGACCTTGAGCTTCCCCGACGCCACAGAGAAAACTTGAATCTTGCCCTTTTGTACAGGGACGTTATAGATTTGTCCCGGCCGTATCGTGAGGATATTGAAGTCAATATCATGTGATATTGTAATGGGCGTAGACGAAGTGAGAAAGGCACCAGAGTATGCTATATCTGTAAGCTAGTTAGCCTGTGCGCTGATTATTTATACTCAAAGGGTCCATACTTCGAGAAGCGTCCTCGGTTGTAACTCGACCAGGTGCAATTTCCCAGTCTTCCATTTCATATTCTGGTGTGCCAAATTGTCCGTGGTGCTTGATGGGTGGTATCCCGCGTTCCAGCCGTGTACTACTATGCCGCTCAGTTGGCGATTTGCTTTGGGACCGAGCCACCTGATCCTTGTCTGTATGGTTAAGCTGTGTTCCAGGCTGCTCGGTTGGCGATTTGCTTTTGGGCCGCGCCGCCCGATCCTTGTCCATCTGCAGTCGGTTAAGGACACTTTGCCTCACAGGCCGTCGGCCGGGAGTCTGCTCTGTACCCTGTCCAGACGGCATCGGCGAGGATTGTTGTTCTTGCTGTGGTGCTGGTTGTGATGACCGCAGAGTAGGCACATCGGGTAGTGGTCGTCCCGACGACGTCGGTACTACTTTGTCGCCACTGCCTGCCTTGCTTGGTTCTGTCCTCAGCTCACATCGATCTGGTGCACTTGTCATGAGGGCCAAATATGCACATCCAACGCATCTGTGGTGGGGAGTGAAGATCCTGACTATCTCCGGGTCCAACTGTATCGACTTGGGTAATACGATGCATTGTTTCGATAAACATGCGAGAGGCCCTGTAGCCGCGTGACAAGCCGACCGGCCGGAAACTTCATCCCCAACGATATAAGCTACCGCGCAGGCATATGTTTGAGCAGCCAGATCTGTGTATGTGTGTTTGTCTAAAAACTCCTTGGGCAAATCTCTTTTTCGAGGCAGCGCGAGCATCCTTGATATATCGCGTCGGTTAGCCGTCCTGAAACCAGAATGAACTGCCGCCATGTATTTGGAGACATCCCTTTCAAACTGAGTAGTTTGATTGTGTTCACGATCCTCTGACATGGCACGTCGTTTCCTATCCTGACCCTCATCCGACTCCTCTAATTGGTGTTTACTCGGCCCAGCATCGTCTTCGCCAAGACCCCGTTTAAGAGCCGGATGGGTTGCACGGGGAAATGGAACCTGTGCTACAACAATGCCTGGCGACCTTCCTGAGGGATTCTTGTAATTACCAAATTTCGATATGCTTCCATCTCCATTGTCGTTGAACGTCATATTGCTGTGGGACGAACCAAAATGGCCGGATAGCGCAGCTAGGTTCTTGAACCTGCGCTGGCATCCTCTAACAGGGCAGATAAACGGAAGCTGAGGGTCACTATGCAATTTATACCCAGCTGGGATCAAGACTCCTTTCGTTGGCACCGATTTCCCACTAGGTTCTAGCCAAGTTAGCGCCGGAATAACATCTTGGAAGTTGCTCAACACGTACGAACAAAGACAGTGTATGGCCTGCCATCCGCGGCAATCTCCATTGGCACGGGGTATCTTTTGCGAGGCGTAGCTGTACTATGTGCTCCATGTGGCAAAGTCGGTTCAATCTTTTCGTTTGTGAGAGGAAGATGGAGCGATCCTCCTAGTCCGCTGCTTGGTGTGCTAGAAGTTGCGGCTGGCTTTCTCGAATCCGGCAGGCTGGTAGCGGGAGCAGAGCGGGATGGCGTTTGCCCAGAAACCTGGGGCGCGGAGACGTTTTGCATCACGGTTGGTGGAAGCGGAACTGGCGTAGGTGTAGAGGCAGGTCCCGATGCACGAGGCGCTGGAGGTGCACGAGGTGTAGTAGATGGGACACCCGCTAGTCGTGGTTGACTGGAAACAGATGCTGGCAACTGACCAGCTGCCGCAACTGTAGGTGGTAGCGGAACAGGCGCTTTGCAGCGTCAGCAGAGCAAATCCCAACAAGTCTCATGTTTCCAGCTCAACTTACTTTCCTTGAGGCGAGCTATGGCAGGAATAGACGCCAACGAGCTGTCATCAGAATCACTACTCTGCGCCCGAGCTGGTTCAAGCGGCTCATGTTTTATATTGCCCCGGGCTTCCATCTTTGGCGCACCAGCAGCTTTATTAAATAATGCGAGGTGTGGCCGATTCGACAACTCAACTCGGACATGGGTCGCCGTCGCTAATGAACCAGTGCCAGACACACGAGGGAGATCGTCAAACGCCGTCACCGACTCCTCCTCGTCGTCGGAACTCGTCGACCAGTGACTCCCGTCGGCGTCCCAGGTTGGATCGGCTTTCTCATCATCCACAGGACCCAGAGGCAGGTCCATAATGATACCCGAGTTCATTGGAGATGACCGCCCGCGCAGAGGGTTTGGGCGGTGGTGCTTGCTGAAAGGGCTTTCAAGACCCAGGGTCCCTGATGAGATGACCATGTATCATGGTCCACGGTTGAGTTGGTGAATGTGAAGTCGGGGTGAATGAACCCCCCTTCCAGATGCAGTGAAGCCCGTGCTTCTGGTGGCTCAATTGCACAGTAGTAAGAGCTCCCAACAAGTCGTGCAACGATGAATCCTCTCCTTGCGAAGTCCGAGTGCGTAATCGAGGCTTGAGAACGGGCGGTGCTTTGCAGGGTAAGCAAGTAGTTGAGTCTAGGGGTGAAATGCGCTCGAGTTGGCTGAGGTTGAAAGTGCGACGCGCAAACGCGGTTGTGGATCCCGCAGTTGGCAGCCCGCCCCGTTGAGCGGATCTGGGGAAGGTGCGATGCACGGAGCCTGTTCGCCACCACGGCCAAAGACGCAACTTTACGCTCAGCTTGTACAAATGTACACACAGCGGTTCGCTCGACCCAAGCGCATTCCAGGTGGCCAAGAAATTGGCAATTTTTCTCATCATTTGATTGAAAGACACTGCAAGGCAGTGAATACTCAAATTCTCCGTACGTAATAATGATCGTGCGGACGACGACCCGCAGCCAGACCACCTTGCATGCAAATATCATTCACAGCACTCCAACTGGTCATGGTGCAATACTACTACTATTCCTCCGCAGCGTCGAATCACAAAGAGTACAGTGAATTTGTCTAGTGTAGTACACATCGCTATAGTACAATGTCAGCCCCCGCTGCCCTTCAAATCTCAGCTTCAATGTTATTTGTTCTTCTTAGCAGCCTTCTTGGCTGCTTTCTTGGCCGCCTTCTTGCTGACAGCCTTGACGCTCTTCGTCTCTCCACTTTCCGCCCTATTTTTCTCTGCCTTCCTCTGGCCCTCAAGCTCCCTCTCCCTCCTCCACCGCCGGTGCCGAAACCACTGCTTCCGCGTCCTGAACCGCTTCGTCCGCAGCCCCGTCGTCTTGGCCAGCCGTCCGATGCGCCAGTTGTCCTCGCGGTAGCTGTAGTCGGACCGCAGCTTCAGGATCCTGTCCGGCTCCCCGGCCTCGACGCGAGTCACCTCGAAGGGGATCCCAGACGGCGACAGGGCGGGCTTCTCGGCCGCCGCGCGGATGGGAAAGGCAGTCATGTTGAGGCGGCGCTTGCGCTCAGCGTGCTGCGGGTGCGGCAGCGTGTCGGCCTTGTCGAAGACGACGCCAATGTATTTGCGGTCCGGGTGCAGCGACGGGTCGCGGTAGTACTTGACGTAGCCCGTGGCCATGGCGTGGATGGTGTGGTCGCGGCCCATGATGCAGTTCTCGCCCGGCCACCAGTGCGTGCCTCGCTGTTTGTAGATGATGTTGCCCGGGATGACATACTGGTCTGTACAAGTTAGCTGCCGTGGTTCCAGACCCCAGAGTGACCACGGGTTGCCGATGCTCAACCAAGGCGCCCTTTTGTAGGAAATGCAAGAAATCCGCCTACCTCCAGTCCTCTTGGCTCCCAGCTTCTTCGGAATGCCCCTCTTGCTCTTCTTCTTATAAGCGCCCTGCGCCTTGACCGAAGCGTGTCGTCTCCCCCAAGCCAGCACATTCGCCCATTGAGCGCTCCCCAAGGAAGCAACTCCCGTAACAGTCGGTCGGGCAACTCCAACGCAATTAGCAGCCACGGCCAACAAGGGCCGCTGCATCGTGAGGAACCGCATCGTGTGCGTGCCCGGTCGTCAAGATGGCATGCAATCAATCCGAAGAGATCAAAGCTCGCTGCCCCCAGTTGGCCAATTTGGAGTTTTCTGCTGAGTCAGCCACGCCATCAGCACCCTGCCCCCATGCTATCGATAAGCGCAGTGGACAAGTCATCATCACGGCAACCCCAGAACCTACATCAACCTCTCTCATCCTGAAGCATAAACTTCCAAAAAAAAAAAAAGGCAAGACAGAAGAGAACCGGCAAGATGCAGCTCCTCATCCTGCTCATGTCGCTCTTCGCCATGGCCACCGCGCAATTCGGCTTCTTCGACCAAATGTTCGGCGGGCACGACGCCCAAGAGCAGCACCACCAGCACCAGCAGCGGAACAACCCCAGCGACGCAGGACACTACAGATCACAATTCGAACAATGTACGTTTTCCGCAACTCCCCTAAAATAGCCAGAATTCAAAAGTGTTTTTTTTTTCTGGACTCCCTTGGAATAATGCGCTGATTCTTACTAGCCCACTGCGACAAATACCTCTGCCCCGACACCCTCGCCTGCGTGCACTTCCCGCACCACTGCCCCTGCGCATGGGACGCCTACGAGGAGAAATTCGAGTTGGGCGAGGGCAAAATGGTCTGCGTTTCAAAGGGCGGGTTCAAGCCCGGCGAGGCGGCGAGAAAGATTGAGCTTGCGCGCAAGGGATTACTATGAAAGCTTTGGGGGAGATCAGGGCGCACGTAGGAATGACAGGACAAATCATATAAAAACGTTTGACACAAACATGAACCAAGTATTCATGCACGCACAACCGGGCTGGATAAAACGCTAGACTATTTACAAAGATGTATATGCAGGTGCCCATACACGTGATATGACGGTGACGGTAGACTGTTATCAACTTGGACAAAGAAAATAACACGCAAATTATGCCAGCCATGTTCCCAGCGACTTGTCGCACTTGGAAAGTCGTAAACGATCGTAAAGCTACCATAAGAAATTCTATAGATACATGGCACTCTTTCCCTTTCAGGGGCTTCGTAAGCCCAGTCCAAACAAAAAACTCCTCCGTTTCGACGACGCCTTGACAGGAAGAGGATCGGTCTGCGTCCCCACATCCCGCATGGCCCGTCGTCGCTTGATGACAAAAGGGAAGATATAAATCAAAATCCGGTTGCGTCTTCTCTTGAAGGTAGGTCTTCGTTTTTGTAACCTGTTTCGTTTACTGGCTGACCCAGATGAGCCAGATGTCGAGGGGGGTATGATTGCAATATCTGGCGATTGCTTTTCCTCTTCTTCCGGGGGCTTTGAAGAGGTCAGACTGCGCAAGGATGGTAGTGAAAAAAAGCTTAGTCTCGGGGATGTTGGTTCCAGTATGGGCGGTGGGGTTTTGGGTGAGATGTCGGCTTCTTCGGGGCGTGTCCGTGAAACCGTGCTGTGCATGGAAGATAACGATAGTCGGCGGAGGAAGGTCGGCGACGAGGCCAAGGCCGTGGGCAAAGATGGTGGTGCGCCAGTCTGTCTGGGTGACGTGCCTTCTTCTGGTTGTCCAGTAGAGGAAACGTAGGAGCCTAGTGACGGCAGCGACATCCAGCTCAAACTTCGTGCAGTAGCAGATAAAACGGGCAACAACACCCCTGGAGCCAGTTCCTTTTCTTCAACAATGGCATTTGCTGCCACTTTGGCGGACCTGCGCCTCATGATCTTTCGCAATCTCCGACTGTTAATGTGAGCCATTCGGCAGTGGAGGCACTGGGGGCACCTCCTGGTCGTCGTCTTCGTCTTCGTCGTCAGGGATGGATTCCGGCGCGCCGAGGAGTTGTGCGACGTTGTGCATGTCGTAGTGCTTCTTGCGCGCGGCCTCAAACTGACGGTGCTTTTCACGTTCCTCTGGCGAAATTCCCACCAGTTCCTCTTCGGCGGAGGGGGTGGCATCTTGATCATCCACATGAACCGTCTTTTCGGAGGGTTGGCGCACATGTGGCGGAACGTCTGTTTCTGGAATCTCTTCCTCCGGATCGCCCAGGCTGAGGCCCGGAATGTCATCTTCACCGCCCGGACCTGAAATTTTGCGCCGAAGACCACCACCCTCCATAAAATCCTCATCGTCGGATGGGTCCTCGGCCGGGTCGTAGTGTTTGGCATAGGGAGTCTTGGGCTCGGTGATTTTCATAGTAGAAGTGCGCTCCTGCTCCGTCAGGTACAGGTTTGCCTCGTCCCACTTGAGACGCTGCGACGACTCGGCTTGGCCGTCGGGGTCGTGGGTGGAGGAGCGGCGCGAGCCAAATGGTCTGGTAGCAGAGGAGGAGGAGCGTCGATGGCCAGCGTTGATTTGGGTGTTGGCAAGGGTGATTTCTTTGCCGGACATGGACCGCTCGCGACCTTGGCGGGGAGACGTAGCCGACGGCGGGGAGGTGTGAGAATGGCTCGAAGTATGCTTTAGGATGCCTGTGGTGGTTTGTTAACGAAGCCGTTTGACGTGAGTCTTGCACCGGCACGGCTTACCTCTCGGACGCTGGGCATCATGTCCTGGAGGAGAATGAACTGGGGCCGGGTCTACTGTAGAAGTCATGGTGATGGGTGCTTTAGCAGTCTAGATAAGTGTGGTTTGGTCGACTCTATTGTGATGGCTAATGGCGTTTGAAACGGGAGTGTGGCAGGCGTTGTTCAACTGATCGTCGCCGACGCCCAAGCGGCAGGTGACTTGGAAGATGAAGCTGTCGCAGGCGAGACGAGAGGGCACGAGGTGCGAGAGGTATAAGCCAGAAGAGATGCGCTACGCTCGTGATTTGACGGTGTTGTTTAACGCGTTGCAGGCGACTGAGGTTGGGAACATTGAAGTGTCAATCAAGAAACTGGGGCACACGACACGGAAATGCTGAGCAAGAGGGGGTTTTGAGGCGGGGCAGCGGCGTTTTCGCACGGGGTGGTGGTGGGAAGCGAGGGTCGTCGCTGACGTGAGTGAGCTCTTCGAACAGGTATTGAACTGATGCAATTGCCGACTCTGATGCTAGTGACAGGGACGAGATCGATGGCTCCAGATGACGCGCTCACACGGTGCCCTCGAGTGAACAAGGAGCATTGAGCTCTGTCAAACTACTGTTGGCCTCTTGACAACCCCATCATGATTCGGAGTACCGGGTATGTTCAGAAGGTACAGACGCTTGCGGCGTGGCTTGCGAGGGTGGCGCGTGGCACCATGTTCAATGTTGACACTTGACATTCCAAGTCTCCGCCCGAGGCATCCAACATCCAGTCGTTCCATGCGCTGCACGTTGCATGCCAAAGCGACTCCACGCGATCATGGTCATGCAGGAACCATTGACCGTCTCTTTGACGTTCGGAGTCCTACTTCTGTTCTGTAGCCAACCTGATGCACAAACGTGACCTCACAGAATTCCAGCGCCTGCTTACTGCTTCGTACTCCCACACCCTTCCTGCATTGCCGGTGCGTCTCCCCAAGCGTAGACAACTGTTCGAAACTCAGTGACAACTCGTCGTGTCAAAACGCCCATGTCCTCAAATAAACTGCCATGCGCGTCCCAAGCATGCACGAACCCGACAACAGCCAACAGTCGATTCAGGGCAAGGCGCCAAGTGTCCATCCCGTCAACAATCTGCCGTTGCAACAAATGGTAGCACTACCATGCAAGCACGCAGAGTCAACACGCATGTTGGTACAAACCATGTGGCGCCACGAAAATGCAACACCGACAATGCGCCCAAGCTACCGAAAGCTTGGATATCGAACCAGACCACGTCGACCTGCATGATTCCGTGTAAGCTACTACATTTGCCGCATCCGCGCACCCAGCCCGGTAGTGTAACCAACTCGACATTAGTCATCGGATGGAAACGCCAAGTTTCTTGAAAATCCCCGTTGCACATACCAGACTCTATCTTTATGCCTTGGCTCGGGCTCGTTGAGTGAACAACCCCGCCCACAACCTGCTTGGCTTCCTGAAGCGATTAGCAAAAGACAGGGCCTCGAGTCAACCCTCCCTGGGCGTGTTTCAAAACAAAACCCTTGTTCAAGAAAGAAACCAAACAACTGCATTATCAAGTGTGCCGAGTACATAGTACTGCTCTGTACTACCGATAAACATGCGTCGGATCTAAGAGGCAGCGGTTTGTGACGGCACATGAGTGGGATGACACAAAGTCACTTTTGCACGAGTTGGTCATTTTTCTTGCATCATCGTACATAGTCAAGTTGAAGTTGTTCAACTCTTCGGTACCGCGTCCCGCTTGTTGGAAGCAACACTAAGAATCGGCCGATGCCGTGACTCGGGCGTCCAAGAATAAGGTGAGCCTCCCGCGAATGCCGCCGAAACCACAGGTACGGAGTAGTCAATCGAGATTTACAAGAAAATGAAATGGCTCGGTCCATGAACAAGGAAAAGTGTCATAGTATGGTATTCGCCAATAACAACGCCGAAGTGGTATCTGCAAGCATCAAGCCCACCAGCCAGGACCAGGAAGTGAGACTTTCTTGGCTTACATCCTGGGCGACTAACACCGCCCCCTAACTTAAGCCCCCCCCAAAAAAAGACAAGACAAAACAAATAGGCCTGCTCCAAGAATAGATGCAGCATGTGTCAGGGTCTCATAAACAAAGGCCCCATAAAATCGAAATGATAACCATATACGGTCCCTCCTCTTCATGGTTTCTGAGCCCAACTAGTGATCATGTTCCTTCATATCAAAATTACGTGATGCGAGACGTACAATCATAGCCTTTCGGCAAGATCCGTTCATGGTAGCTGAAACAGCGCCATTGCGTAGTGTTGAATCCGTACGCGCAGCTTACTCTGAAATCGGCGGCAGATACATCATTGAGTTTGTCCAGCCTCTGGGGACTCGGCCTTTGCTCCGGGAGCATCTAGTATCACCATGAGAGCTTTCAAGATGTGGTATCCCGTCCGCCAACACACGCTCTTTTCCTGCTCCCCAGCCCAAATGTCAACGCAGCTAACAAGGGTCTCGAGGATAAGCTGTCGAGGAGGTATAAGACATCCAGTGGCAGCCGCCTCGCTTAGTGGAGCATCTTGACGTAGCATGTGTACACAAGTGGTCAAGGTTGCCGAGAAGATATCAAGTACAAATGGCCGTCCGACCAAATCAAGTGGTTGAGGAGTTTCAGGGTCCCACAGCTCGCGGTAGTGAAACAACAACGCGAGTGAGCACTCCAAGGATGACCAGTACGATTCCGGAAACATGGTAGGTCCATCCGCGTGAAGAGCAAATGGTCGATGCATGACCATGAGGCACCGCCTGAGGAATATATCGATAGTAATGCGCTGTAGAGGCGCTTGGCAAACGCGATTGGCGTGTCCCATCAGCTCTCGGAGCTGGGCATTGTACCGCAGAACATCGGGGTAGGATATGGGGTCTCGTTTCGAATTCATCTGCGCAAGGATATTGAGTACAACGGGAAGACCCTGATAGAGGACCATCTGAAGGCTGTCCGGGGCACGCCAATGTGGCATATTTTTGAGACCGCCCAACTCTTCCGGCCGGGTCAATGGAGGCATTCCCGTGCACATGGACACTTTGATGTCAAGGTACAGAATTGTCAGCCACAGCTTCCGCCGTATCTCCTTTTCCACGGGGTCCCGTAGTTCTTCGTCGTTGTCGTTACGTTCTTGCGGTAGACCAAGAATGAAGGCAAGGCGAACCAAATGGCCCATGAGCGTGTAGGACGAATCCATGGCCCAACATGTAGCGTTGCAAATCTGCTTGGCTACAACCATGAGCGTAAATGCCCTAATCGTACTGATCGTGGGGCGGAACATGAATGGCGTTTGCATGATGCATGCCTCGGCGGCCATCATGAACTCTATGGCAATGGGAGGATCGGTTCCGGATGTGAAGCAGCCTAGGCCGAGGACCATGAGGAATTGCGCTAGCCAGCATAATCCGACAGCATTTGGATCTTGCCAGTAACGGTGGACTTCCTCTTGAAACGTTGACAAGTCCAAGACGGGATTGACAACATCCAGCATATCCACATATCGGCCTAGGTATTCCTCAACATTATCCTTTTCGCCAGATATGAGTCTGGTGATAGTATCACGAGCATAATATTTTGTGGCGCCGGGAGTTCCAAATGGGAAATTTCCTGGCAAAGAGAAATTTGCTAAACAGGCATTTGTAGCTACGCCCTCCAGAATTTTAGCAAGGGGAGACTGTGATATTGGGGTGAGTGATCCGATCTGGAGCGAAAAGGAAATGGCGTTAGCAGTGTTCACAGCCAAAACTGGGTCGAAAGCCCTCGACATAAGGCATGGACATTGGGATGAAAACATACCCTAGCCATCAATTCTCGCCAATGGCTCGATCCTCGGACTTTGTGAGTTATCTGCCATGGCGCCAACTGGGGCTTCTTGCTGTCCGGGTCTATTGGCCCCCCCGCAGGGGCAGTAGGGCAAGGAAATTTGCCGCCATTCGGTCCTTTGTTATAACTGTAGTAGCACTCTCGTCCATTGCCGCTAGACTTGCATCGTCCACAGGGAAGCTCCTTATCGCATTTGACCTTGAGACGATGACAGCGGAGACAGCTAAGGCAGTTGCGCTTACGCTTGCGAACAATCCGTTGACCCTCTTGATTGCTGGCAGTATCTTCCGTAGAATTTTGAGCTGGCGTGGAGTCCGTGGTGATAATCTGGTTCGGTTCCGGGCTCTCAACAGTTGTCGTTGGTGAAATCAAGCCGTTCACTGCTACTCCACCATGGTTCTGTGATACGGATGAGGCAGGCGAAGGGCCACCAGCGGGCGAGCTGGCGGACGTGTCTCGTGTAACTAGCATGGATCCTGGCGTTTGCATAGTTGGATTCGATGGGGATGCTGAAGAGTTGATTGACCCTGAAGTTGGTACTCGCGCATATCCGACAGTGTTGTTCGTCAGCACCGATGAAGGCGCTGTTGAGCCGTCGGATCCAGGCGCGGTCGTTCCTGCCACATCGAAACTACACCGAACTCCTGCTTGAACGCATCGGGTACATGAAGGCTTGACGAGATCGCATCGCCTCTTAAAATGGCGACATCTGTCGCAGGTCTTGACTTCTCGCATATGGGGCATTCCTCCCCTGTGAGATGGCCTGTAGATGAACGACAGAGGCGGATTAAACTACGCCACTCTATAGGGTCAGTTTCGTCAAGAAGTATGGTTGAGGGAAAAGGGCAGGATTCCAAGATTCCGCTCTTCGATTATCAGGTAAATGGTGTCTTCGTGGTTGCAATCCGACTGCGCCGACACCGTATTGCTGATGAAAGTCCCGCAAGCCTTCCACAATGTCCGTTCACCCGGCCTCCTTTCATAAGCTGTGTGCTGACAGATGTCAAATCTCGATGCCCTTAAAAGCGAGCAGGCGCTCTCACGGTGGAACGGCTCGGCGAGACTGTGGCCTCTGTTCCGACCTGGTCCTACCACTTTTGGAAAGGAGGAAAGTGATGTTGAGTGAGCAAGCAGGTCGCGCGAAACAGATAGATGATTGACAAAGCAGGACTGCTCAACGCTACGCAACAACGGGGCGCGGGCGGTAGCCGAGACTCATGGATAAATGAGGAGCC